TTTTATATACAGGGTTGTTCAAATTATAGGCCAACTGTGCAAAAAATCAAAGATCTCCATATTTTGTCTAACTTTTGAAAAAGTAGATTTTTTTTTGAAAACAGGGTAATTCGAATTATAGACACTGCAAAAAATACCAACAAAATAATTAAAAAATATGTAGTTTCTAGTCTGATTAGATTTTTTTGTAATTCAACACAATCAGAACGAAGTTTATATCTTTTAATACATTTTCAATACAAAAAACTCAAAATTTGAAATTCAAAAAGTTTGTCAGAGGGTGCGAATTATGTTACATCATATCGGGTGTTCCATAAAATTTTAAAAAAATGCTAAAAAATGATCAAAATCCTTACAAAATTGTCAAAGTCACTAACTAAGTATGGAGGTTATGTTTTTTTACTAAGTATTTTGTCTCATCAAAAAAAAACTATTTTTATAGTCCTAAAATGTAAGATTATTTTTTTTATTTCATAAATTTAGAATAGATTTTTATATACAGGGTTGTTCAAATTATAGGCCAATTGTGCAAAAAAAATCATACATCTCCATATTTTGTCTAATTTTTGAAAAAATTATTTTTTTTTGAAAACAGGGTAATTCGAATTATAGACACTGCAAAAAATACCACCAAAATTATCAAAAAATATGTAGTTTTTAGTCTGATTAGATTTTTTTGTAATTCAACACAACCAGAAAGAATTTTATGTGTTTTAACACATTTTTAATACAAAAAACTCAAAATTTGTAATACAAAAAGTTTGTCAGAGGGTGCGAATTATGTTACATTATATCGGGTGTTCCATAAAATTTCAAAAAAATGATCAAAATCCTTACAAAATTGCCAAAGTCACTAACTGAGTATGGAGGTTATGTTTTTTTAGTATGTATTTTGTCTCATTATCAAAAAAAATAATTTTTATAATCCTAACATGTAAGATCATTTTTTTTATTTCAAAAATTGAGAATAGATTGTTTTATATACAGGGTTGTCCAAATTATAGGCCAACTGTGCAAAAAATAAAAATCTCCTTGTTTTGTCTAATTTTTGAAAAAGTAGATTTTTTTAAACAGGGTCATTCGAACTATAGATACTGCAAAAAATACCACTAAAATGATAAAAAAATATGTAGTTTCTAGTCTGATTATAGATTTTTTTTATAACTCAACACAATCAGAAAGAATACAGTGGAAATGTATGACCTTTAACGCATTTTTAATACAAAAAACTCAAAATTTGAAATACAAAAACTTTGTCAATTATGTCACATTATACCGGGTGTTCCATAAATCATATGACCAAATAAATCTTGCTTATTTATCATCAGATTTTTACAAACTATACATCAAACGAAAGTATTTTTAAAGAACTACAAACTACATTTGTTTCAAGCTTTGTTTACTGCAAGCAACAGTCAATTGTTTTTTCAAACATCACTTTGTAGATATCTGAAAACATATTTAACAGATATTTTGGTCAAAATATCTTCATAGTGTTATTAAAAAAAAATAAAAAATTCAATTTACTTCGCTTATAGAATGAAAGTCGGCCACCCTATATGTTTTGCAAAAATTAATTTCTCATTAAATATGTAAAATGGCCACTCGTAATTTTTTGACATTTCATTAAGCCAACTTATGAATATTAATTTCCCCAAACTTACCTTGTACTTCGGTGGGTTCCGCATATTTGAAAACCTTCAGGTCCCGATGACTGTACCTCAACTGTGCATAGACCACCACGAAGGCTATAATAGCCCCCACTCCCATATGTAGGGTAAAAGTCCCAAAATTGATACCCTACAAACATAAAAATCGAAGAAAAAAAGTGGTATGACGCAATTTGCGTTCCCCCCTAAGCAAGTTTAAAAAATATTTGTTTACTTGTTACATTTTAACATAATTTCAATAATACGCGCATTAAAAAACTATGTTTTTTTCCCTCGGTGTCTCACATCTAACGCACGAACGAACCGGTTATTTCTACGCTCTGTTATATAATAATTAATTTCTCTATTGGTCAAGTGCGGACCATATGGTTTGGGCTTCTTTTCGACGGTTTTGTAACGAAATTGCGCAAAAATGATATTTTATTTTTGGGCAAAGTGGCCTAGGACTTTGGAATTAGGGTGGCAGCATTGATGCATTCCGGGAATTGACCGCAACTTCAAAACAACGGGTAATCAATGTCAATAACATATTTTGGCATTCGGGGATTTCCAGAAAATAAACGAGAAACGGGATTTAATTGCGAGATAAAATCGTGGGATTTTTTGCGAAGATACAGGACCGTAATATCGCCATTTTACGAATTTCAGAACATTTTGACTTCTCTTGAATTCAAATTTCGCGCTTTGTTAAACAAAAATGGCCGAATTGTCCTAATTTTTAAATTTCCTTTAATAGTAAAAGTGACGTAACACAATTTTGTTTTTTCTCGAAAAAAACACTGTCGCTATTTATGTCATAGGTAAGTGTCATTAAGATTTAAAAGGTTAGTTTTTTTTGCAGTTTTTGCTATTAACGAGTTTTTTCAGTGTCATTACCGCAAACTCGACTAAATTAGTACAGTTGAAAACAAACTTAATGACGGAAAAAAAGTAGACCAGATGACACCATTTTTTTAGTTGATTTTGATTTATTTTGACATTTATTTAAAGATAATAACACTTTACGTAATACTAATTCTGGTTAGTTGTAGTAGGCTGTGACATTTTGACAATGATTGTGAATCAGACTGTACACTGACTAAAATTTGGGAATTTTATTTACTCCTCTGGAAATTCCGAATGACAAAAGTGTCAATATTTTTATTATTTTTTTGAATCACTCTGTATTGTATTATTTTTATTAAATTGTTGATTTGAGTTGCAAAAAACGTGTTTACACTTACCGATCTTATGACATCTGTGTTCGACGCAATGATGACATTTGGGGGATCCCCAATTGGGGTAATAGCGCCACCTATGTTTGCAAAAATCAACATATACATAAGCACAGGAACCGGGTTTAGTTTCATGACTTCGCATAATCTAAAATATTACCAACTTGAAATAAAAAAGTCACTGATTGGAAACGTCATACTTGACAGTGACAGGTGTCGTGAGTAAAGTCGTTGTGACATTATCCAAAAAACATGAAAAAATGGCAGTTGTTATACACAAACTGTTAATCAAAGGCCAGATTTTCCCACCTGTAATCTACTCGAAAAAAATGAGTTGGTACACCTGATTGGGTTTACCCTATATGCCAGGACTGACATATAATCAAAAATCCCTGTTTCGCTTAAAATTGTCACAAGTGTCATCATTGAGAAGAGTAGTAAGAGTGTTTCAATGTCGATCCATGAAATGATTTCGGTCATAGTAGGTCTGGCATTCAGTGCTGCCAAAATAGCAACCGACATGGTACTAGCAAGCATGGCAGCCAACGTTCGGTGCACAAGCTCAAAAATGATAGCAATATACAAACCGATAAGTACCAACCCCGCGTAAATAATCCCCAAATCGGTATTTATCGGTTGGAGGTTATAAGCAAGCGATAGGGGAAAATTCGTCTTCATGTTGGTACTAAACCTAACCTCCAGTAAACTATTATTAAAATCGCCAACTTTGATCGAGTTCAAATGAAACGTTTTCTCATGAGTGACTTCCGGAACGACATCTATCAACTTTTCTGGAACCAGAGCCACTTCCCAAACATCAGAAACGTTCTGGATGAGGAGAATATTGCTGGGTTTCAATTTGCGAGAGGGCTGTTTCAGTACTACCAACTGCACCCAAACGTTCAAAAAATTAACCGACAAGTTTTCGTAACACGATGGAAGAAGAGCACCTTCGAGAGTGACCCGAAATTGCGTGTTTTGGGGCTCTTCCAAGATCAAGAAGCCTGAAAAGGGGTGCCAACATTACTCGTGGCGCCAAACTCAAAACTTACTCTTAGTTTCGCCACTAGAAATACTCAATTGGTGCATGTGTTGAACTTTGACATTGTTGGTCATTAGGGCACAACTGCACACAATCCAGATGCCCACCAAAATGGCAACTTTCAATTGTTTGCCAAATTCTCGCCATTTCACTTTCTTGCTCTTAAATCTAGTAGACTGGTAAAACGTGAAAAATTGAATTTTTGACTTACTCGATGTCAGTTGAGAGAAACACTTTAAGACTGTCCTCGATGTCGGTTTGAGACTCCTTGTAGTGCTCAGGAGTGCAAGGAACTGTGATTATTCTAGAAAAAAAAAACGAATCAATTGTCATTATTTTTGATAAAGTTACCTTGGTCTATCAACGGCCATTCTTTTGTTTTTGAGAACAAAATCGCATCGCTTGACAAAGATGGCGGATTATCACACAGAGATAATTTTTTGCAAAAAGTCGAAAGAAAATTTAGTCGCCCAGTTGGCGTGGAAAAATTGTTTACAAGTTAAGCATTGCGAAATGACACTCCTCGTGATTTATTTTCGTCTCTACTATAATTATGTTTTTTATTCAGTTATATAATATATTGCGGGTATTTTTGCAACACTGGATTTGGGAATTTTAATGTAAAGCAAGTGAAAATTATTAATTTTGTTGATTTGGTATCACTGACCGGAAAATAATGCAACCAGACGTGCCAACCTACATTCTTGTCTAGCATATTAGCCCATATAATTGGCATTTGGCTGTTTCCTAGTGTAAATCGGGCGAAATTATGTAATGCAAGTTGAAACATTTTTGAAATAGCATTGAATACAGTCTGTGTTACAAGTGATGACACATATAGTGACTGTACCATGAAATTTTGATTAAGATTAAGAAAGGTCATTGTATGGTTAGTTTTTTCATGTCTTGACCTCTAGACTTCATTGTTTCTCATTAAACATATATTCCTTTTTTTTTCTCTCCTGCATAATTATTATTTTCTGATGGAAACATTGACATCTTAAAAAAAATGAAAACCACAAAATGCAATAAATATCTTTTCGTAGAGTCACCGAACTCATTTCGAAGAAATTCTAATCAACAACTAATGATGTACAAGTTTTACCAATCGGCCTTATGAATTTTAATTTGTTTACAATTGAAAAATAAATGCACAAATAAGATATATGTTAATGTGGAGGTGAACAAAGACGTCATTTGTTGTAACTTATACTTTAGGTGTCATCAAAAAATTTTAATTAAAATAATAAAACACAAATGTTTCAAATCTTACATAACAAGTTGGTAGACAACCAACAATACACCATATTACAAATTTGCCTTGTTTTACAAATTTTACAATTACTAATGCATTGTTTTGAATTATTATGGTTATTTGTTGTAAATTTGTGCAATAAAACAATTATATTATTGCCTCGTTTTTTATTTATAACACCATTCGCACTTAGTGGACTTCGCACTCGATACAATTCACTCTTAAACCACCAAAATGTCAAACTCTTTAAATTAAGGTTGTGTTTATTTACATTGTTCTGAGCGAAATTTTGATCAATTTCACTAAAAAACTGGTGTAAGAACAATGACAACAAAATCAAACGGCGCAATTGAGTTATTAAACAAAATCAAGGGCCAAAAACGTAGATTATATCTCGAAGACTTTTACTACTCGTACAAATGTTCCAAAATTGGCTCTGAGGCAAAACCGCGCGATTCCAGTGGTAATTTTGAGGATGTTAAACCGAAAGTGGAGGATTTGGAGACTGAAACGTAAGTAATCAAAATGTCAATGTTATGCAACCAATTATACACCAGTGTGTATGAGCTGGTCCAAAAGTGCGCTATTCCAGGGATCAGAAACCGGTCTACCGGCACAATACCCGTCGCAAATTGCCCTACAACGACTCCGAGAAGAAATACGTTTGCAATAGTTGCACTTTTCGGAGCAAATACCGGAAAAGTCTCACCGAACACATCCTTCTTCACAAGTCACGTGACGAGACCCCCATCTACCATTGCGGCGAATGCTCGTATGAAACCAAACGAAAACACTACTTACGCAAACACAGTCTGATCCACAAGTCGAGCAACCAATTAGAAATGCACAAGTGTCCCGAATGTGACTTTGCTACGAAACGCAAAGATGGCTTACAGAGACATCTACTGTTGATACATAACCACAATTCTGAAGCTTTGATATATAAGTGTCCCGAATGTAGCTACCAGACCAAATTGAGCTATAGTCTCACCTCGCATATGCTCGTACATAAAACTTCCGATGATTTTTACAAATATAAATGTTCGGAATGTCCATACAAAACCAAAGAAAAACGCTCGTTGTTCAAACACTCCCTGAGCCATAAAAGCAAAGATGAGATACATACATACAAGTGTCCGCAATGTCCGTTCGAGACGCGCCGCAAAGCCAGTTTGAGTAAACACATGGCGGTGATTCCCGGCGAGGAATTCGGGGAAACCCACAAATGTACAGTTTGTGTGTTTGAAACGACACGCAAGAAGTGTCTAAGGAGCCACATGCTGTCGCACCGAAATGCCAATAAGGCTTACAAATGCCCATATTGTCTCTACGAACACACCAAGAAGAAGAAACTAACACGCCATATATCTGTCCATAATGATGGGGAAGACTCCTATAAGTATAGATGTCAGGAGTGTCCCTTTAAGACAAAATGGGTGGATGCACTCAATACACACAAGTTGAGACATGTCAAAGAGGAAGATGGCGGCATTTTTAAATGTATGGTGTGTTCGTATAATGCCAGGAACAAGGCACACTTGACCAGACATTTGAAAATGCATAAGAGGGATAGTGGGGGAATTTAGGGGTTTTAGTTTTTATAGGTTATTTAACTGTGATATTGCGAGTCAAAGTCCCTATTAGGGTGTGTAGATTGTGTACCTTGAGCTAAATAAAAAGATGTGCATGCCATTTTTGTTCTTTCCCTTTATTACACATTTATTTTTTATTTCACTACACCAAAAACACCAAAAAACGTATATTTTTCGAGTTATGAATTTTTTAAGTGCAAAATTCTGTTAGTTTTTTTATTTTCGCCCTAGGTCTTATAGTTTGTAAAACTTGGAAGCCTGATTCACACCAGCCTAATGCATTTCCAAAATGGCGGCGACATTTTCGCCAAAATCCGGCCGATACTCCAAATTCCACAACCCGGTGAAGACAATCGACTCCCCCTCTTGCAGTTTAACCCCAATTTGGGGGCACTCCCCCTCGCAGTTATTCCTCGGAACCAATCGTAGGAAATTCGCGCCGGTAATTTGCCCCACCACTGCCACTTTATCGACCAATCCGATGGCTTTAAACTGAGTCATGTTGTAATTCCTGCTCCACAACAACCAATTATATTGCACTGGTGACAGTTCCGGGGGTAGAAAAGCCGGACGTGGGGTAAACCCCCGAAATTGTTTAACGGCGGGAAAATCACAATTTTGAAAATGGAGGAAAAAACTGTCAAAAAGTTGTGTTCTCGAAAGTAGATTTTTGACACTTGTCACCCCGTTGTAGACGTTTGTGGCCAAATTGCAAGGTTGCGAGTCAGCAATGGCGGCGTTTTTGACAAGACTGTCAAAAAAGTCGGCCATATTTAGCCAACTTTTCTTGATTATCACCGGAATTTCCACATCCAAGTAGCGATTTTTTAGAGTTTCTTGCATAATTTCGTCGTAAACGTCGATAAGTTCGAGGTTTTCGCATAAATGGCAGTTGAAATTAATAATTTCGGGAGTCGTTGTAGTTGAAGGTTTCCAAATAAGGCATTTTTCGTTTTTCAGACTAGTCCAGTTCCAAAATGGCAGAATTTTGATTAGGAAAATGCGCCCAAGGGCCGATAAATGCCACGAGATTGTTTCAAAATTGTTGGCGAAGTAAAGAATAGCAAGTGTGACCATCGAAGTGATGAAAATGGCGGTTGAAAGCCTCATTTTTGGGGTTTCGGGGGCCAAAGGGGCGAAAATCTTGCGAATTTCCGCGTCGGTGTAGTTGCTGTCTTTGAGGGACTTGTACAAGTTGTTGATTTCGTCGTTGAATTGCTTGAAGGAGTAAGGGGGGTGCGAGGAGTTCTTCGTCATCTAAACAAGCAAAAAATTCAAATTTACCGCCAAAAAAGGCTTCTACTGTATCCCAATTTCATACAAAAGAATCAAAAACTTGTAACATTGTTTGTATATTTTTTGGTTATGTTGGTATTACAGTTGACTAAAAAATAAAAAATAGTCTTGTATAGTGTAAGCCTAGTTTTGATATCAATTCTTGAATTTTTGGTTGGCGACACTGAAAGACAATTCAAATGTCAATTTTTGAGCAATTAATAATGAAATTTGAATTACTTTTTAGAAAATCCAGTTTTGTAACAGTTTTGTATTTTTTTTGTTATGTTGGTTATACGTACAGTTGACCTCAAAAAGAAGTGCAAATTTCGTTTTACTCATTCCTAGATTACTAAACCAATTATTATTAAATTTTAATTTTAAACAGTTATTTTTTTTATTTTTAATTCACGTTTCATTCCCATATAACAAATTCATATAAAGTCTGTTTTTTTTTTAATGGAAATGCCAAACAGTCTTAACGTTGATGGCATCACTAGTAAATTCATTCAGGGTAATTTTAATAAAGGAAGTTGGCAGTTCCGGTTTTTTGAATTAATTTGAAAACAATGTCATTAACAAAAAATCGTCTAAGAAAATTTAGAGACGAAACACCAAAAAAGAAACAAATTCGGTACACTAACAGTTTTTCGAAATTTGGAAACGAATAGTTCGCAAGCAGGAAGTTATAAAAAGAGAGTAGACGCAATTTGTAATGCAGGTTTGCTAAACATTCTCAATTTTTAGTAAAAAATTGACAAAAATACAAAATAAACATGAATGAGAAAGAACTTCGGAAAGAACGCAATTAAATTAGTGTCTTGTGCATCGTTTTTGAGGAACGAGTTGAAAAAGTAACAATTTTGAAACTAAAGCTGAAGAAGAATTTATAAAATGCATCAACTTTGACCTCATTTCAATAAATTACACAAAATTTATTACCAATTATCATAATACCCACTTGTATCTTTTGCTAAATAACTTTTTTTGTATATACGTCCTTTTTCTTCAAAGTTTTTGTAGCAAGAACCTCATTTTCGTTCACAACATTATATTTACTTGCCGTGTGTTTTTATCAAAATTATTAGCACTGAATTCTGTCTTTAGACGCTTTCAAAGGGCAAACCGGCACACAAGATTCATAAAAGTCAAAATTTTGACATTTCAATTTGAACACATAACCGTAATTTTTTAACAAAATTTCTAGGGACAAAAACAAAGAGCAAACAAAATTTGTGGCTATGGAGACAAGCTGCTACCAATTTTTTCACCAAAATTTTGACTTGGTAATTTCCATTTAACAAAAAAACAGACTTTACTATTTTTAAATTTACCTCCAAATTTTAATTTTATGAACTGAATTTTGAATAATTTATTTATGACAAAAAGGCAGACACGGAAACAGATGTGACGTTTTGTTTATTAATTAATTTTGTCAATTAGTTAATAAATTAATTAATTTTTGTTAAAAGTCCCTAATTATTTGCATTTGCCAGGTTGGCAATGCATCATCACCTTCTTGATTGTCGTAAAAGCAAACACCAACTCACCTTTTCGCCCAAATCCCTTCTTGTTGCAACCTCCCTTAAACTAGGCCACCACCAACAGGTAGTTGTCCCTTGGGGCGCAGGCCCTTATTTATTGATCCCGCTTTTGGCGCCATAAACCAAACCGGAAAAACGAAGCAATGACCGAAGTGTTATCAACGCATGCGCAGTTTGTCCATGTCACTGTGACAGACAACACTTTGTGCAAATGCTGTGTTATAATTGTTTATTATCTCACGAATCGGTTTTTTAAAGCACCCAATCCAAGCACCAGGTCTCGAGCGAAGCGAGTCGAGGACGCCACCGCCCACGGTACCGTCTGCCACGAATGTGAAGAGGTAATTCCAGTTTCGCACCGTCGTGATTACGTCACTGAGCCATTTTGTGCGCTTCTAGGTGTCTTCGGAGCTGCTTTGTGTCATTTGAGGGTCGCGAAAGTACCTCGTGCAGTTTTTTTTTCAAACAGTTGTACATTCAACGACTCCAAAATTCCGGTACCGACGAGAAATAAGGACCATACCGGCCATCACGGTAACGGTGAGATGAACAAGAGGAAAAACAGGGGAGGGCCGCTGAGGTTAGTACAGGGGGCAAAATGTGCAAAAACCATTGAAAAATTAACATTTTTTTTCATCCGACATATTGGTTTTATTGTTACATTTTTTCTGTTATGTTGGTATTAACACCCCACCAAATCACAACCAGAAAAATCACGAAAATGCTTTTACTTGACAGGGTTCAATGCCCTTACAAATAGTTTCACATAATTGCCGAATTAAAGACCACAACAGAGGTATTGACCTCATTAATTTTTTATTTTATCACCAATTTGGTGTTTTATGTTTTGGACTATACAGGGTTACTGTACTTGAAGAGGGAAATTGTCAGCTGTCAACTTGACATTCACGGCCTTGGGGTTATGACTGTTGTATACAGGGGGCTTAGAAAACAGGTCTTGGCGTTATTTGAGTGAAAGTAAAACCTTGATTTTGTAAAATCGCAAAAACCGTTAATATTTTCGTAAGAAATAATTTTTTACAGTGAAAATCTAGCCTTGCCAAATTCTACCAAAATGAATGTTTATCATAAACATAACCTTATTAAAAAACGGTAACTGTGATAAGTGATAACTCCATAGCCAACTTTCACATAGCTGTACACAATATGTTGTATACTTTTGTTAATCATTCTTTCTTGTTTTTTAATTTATTTTAATGTTTTTTGCTGGTTTTTAATTTGCGATTTTTGTTTTTTCAAGAAAGTGGTTTTGCTATTATTTCGTTGAAAGTGTTTTATCTTTTCAACAGATTTGTCAACAACAAATTACCACCTAGATTGAACTTTTAGGAAAATTACGTTTTTTATGTTGTTTGTAACTAGAATTTTCAGAGGTAATTTTGAATACCTAGGATTAGTTACCCCTTGTTGTTGACGGTTGACGATTTCTGTCAAACTGCTGTCAACTATCAATTGACTTAAGCTGACAGGTGACTTAACCTAAATTTTGACACTAGTTACGATATCTTTTGTTTGTCACCAGAAACCAACTTAACCAAATTTATGACAACCTATTCACGAATATCCCTAAATTGTAGGGAGTAAATTTTTGTTGATACGACAATATGAAAATCACAACTTGATAATTTTGATATTTCTGTTTGACATTTGACATTCACGTGACAGTATTTTTTAAATTTGGAGCAATTTTTGACTAATCTGTACAAACATTGTTTTTGTCAAATGTTGTGATGGTATTACAGTAGAGATATGCATTGTTTTATAGTGTAAATCTGGTTTTGATGGTTTGTCAGTCACATTTTTTAGAGGTTGGCGATATTGACCCAAATCCGAGGTAGGTGGCTGATAATTCAATTTTAATTCGATATTATTTTGAAAAATCCAAACTTTGTAACAATATCTTATTTTTTAAGTTGGTATTATAGTTGACGAAAAATGAGTTTTTGTAGTGTAAATCTGGTTTTGATTATTTGTCAATTTGTCAATTTCTGGATTACAAACCCACTGTTATATCAGAAAAATTCACATTTTTTGCAGGAGAGGTTTATTTATCTTGCTTGACTGAAAGTCAAGCAAGATAAATAAATAAATAACTAAAATTGTAATTCAGTATTATAAAAATCAAGAATTTTTTTGTTATATTGATATTTCAGTCGAGTTAAGAAAACAAATAATTTTTTATATTGAAAGTCGGGTTTCATTATTTCTCAATTTCTCGATCACAAAACCACAGTTACACAAACTTACGGAATTTTTACAGAAAAGATTGGTTGAAAACCGTCAAATGTCAAATTTACACAAGGTGGCTGTAAACAGAAATTTCCATTTAATCTTATTTAATATATATTTTTTTAATTTCTTATGTTTTTTTGTTACTTTAGTAGTATTACAGCAGATTTCTATGAATGAATTTATAAAAAAATGTGCAGGAGGTTGGCAACACTGAAAAACAATTCAAATTTATATAGAAGGCTGTAATAATTAAATTCTAATTTAGTATTGTTTTAAAATTAAATTTTGTATAAACTGTCACAATTTCACAGCCAACTTTCTTCATTCGGTTATTCCGAAACTTTCTTCATATTTTTTTGTAATTTGCCTCCATTTTGATTTTTTTTATAGACATTAAAGAAGAAAGGCGACTAGATCAAATTTTAACTTTTAAAATTAAACGACATAAAGTGGGCAAATTACAAAAGATAGTATAAAAAAAATCGTTCTAAATGACTTTAAAGCACTCATTTAAAATAATTCGTGGTTACGCCACTCGTTTTTTAAACTTGAATTCGTGCTTCAAACTACATATTTTATTTTGACAACCACTGATCCTGTAAAGGCTTTTCATGTCGTTTTTTTTAATAGGCGATGTTTCTTACGATAATTGTCCCTCTGACCCCGTCAGTTGCAAACAGGTTTTTGACTATTTACAATTGAAGTAAATAGAGATAACGCACTTTAATCACGGTTGTAAACAATTATAATAAATCTTTTCTTTTTCCTTGTAATTTGATTTTCCATACACAATACACACTCGTACCAACACAACGTAATAATCTATTTAATTAATTGATATTTGTAGTTCTTTTGTTTTGTTTCAGGACCCAGAGGACTAGATCAGTGATGCCGGAAGGTGTTTACAACAATGCACATTTTATGCATTCTGCGACTTTACAAATCGGAAATGTTGTTCGTATAAAAACGGCTTCCGGTGTAGTATGGGAAGGTATTTTTTTTTAATTTTTTTGTGTTAATAATTGACTAAAAATGTGTGTTTAAAGGCGTATTTAAGACATTTTCGAGCAACTTTGATGTCGTCCTCGAGGTGGCGGCAAAAGTCGACAATCCGAACAGCCCGACTCAAACCCTATTGGCGGATAGTTTCGTTGACAAATTAATTTTTAAATCGGGCGACATATCAACGATGGAAGCACGCGACGTTGACTTGGAATACCCCACCAAGGACACGTTTCAGACCGATACGGCAATTTCAGCACGTCTCAATGGCAATTCGAATAAAGAAGAGAAAGAATTAGAACCATGGGAACCCTCATCGGGGATCAATGGCGGCGATAATATACCACTAGAATTGGAAAATGCGAACGGTTGGGACGCCAATGACATGTTTAGGAAAAACGAGCAAGAATATGGCGTCACGAGTACATTTGACCAATCATTGAAGGGCTATACTGTCCCTTTACGGAGCGCTGATACGGCCGATTATCGCGAAGCTGAAGCAAAAGCGGCCCAAATCGCCAACGAAATCGAGAATCAGCCCCAATACAAGGCCCGTCTTGAGCTAGAAAACGGCGACGAAGAGGCCGCTTTTGCTGCTGTGGTTCGTCCAAATCAAGAACCCAACGATAAGTACATCCCACCAGCGAAACGAAAGAATCAAAATTCGGGAAAATTAGTACGTAGTACGCCTCCACCGTCATCACAAGGCCCCTCCCCTAAAGGCAACGCTCCGCCTCCTATGCCCTACCCGAACAACGTCCATGCGATGCACATCCCCCCACCACCCATGCATCCAATGCCGAATCACGGCCGACCTTCGCATACGCCCCCTCATGGCGGTTATAACCAACAAATGCGACCTCCAATGAATAAAACACAGATGAATGGTGAGACGAAACCGAGACCACGTGGACCGTATCAACAACAACAAGCACCGCCTCCGCCACCACCATCACAACAACAACAACAACAACAACATCAAAGAGATGATGCGATGAAGGATTTACATTCGTTTGCTCAGGATTTCAAGTTGCCGCCACCAGTGCCGCCTAATGAACAACCGCCGCCACCACCTAATCTACAAGGACAAGTGCCTATGGAACAGATGGCGGCGGCGGTGCCGCCTCCACAACAACAGGTTAAACCGCCGCCGCAACAACCGACACCACCACAACAAAGTATATCGCCACCACAACAACAACAACAACAGGATCCGGTGGAGAAGGTGACGAATACGTTCAAGAAGAGTACATTGAATCCTAATGCCAAGGAGTTTGTGCTTAATCCAGCGGCGAAACCGTTCCAACCACGGTGGGTAAATTGGTATATAAGAAAAAAGTTGGCTGGGATTTTTAAATTTCCCGCCTTTTTGTTACTAAAACTGTTCAGTTTATTTTGATCGAATTCAAATTTCCCTGACAAGAAGGGTCAAAATAAGTATGTAATTAAATATTAATAATTTAAATTTCGAACAAAACAATCTCAAGTTTTCTCTCTTTTATTTTAAATTTGGTTTACTTTTATTATTATGACATTTTAAAGCATTATTTTTTTTTAAAGAAAATCGCTTCAAAAAAAAAAGATTTTTCGACTTTATTATGTGTTAAATTTAAATTTCTCACTATGAAAAAAGGCGTGTAAGATTTTATTTTAAAGAAAAATTGTTTAAAAATTATTTTCATATTTTTGCTTTTGATTGAATTCAAATTTCCCGCCTATCAGCTGACAAGAAGTGTCAATAAAATATGTATCTGTTTTCTGCTTTTTTTTTATAATTAAAACTACATTTTATTAGTTCGAAAACATTAAATTTGAATTTTCCGCTTCAAAAAATAGTTATTTAAATTTCGAGCATAATCTCAAGTTTTCCCTCTTTAATTTTAAATTTGGTTTAATTTTTGAATAAAAATGGCGGTATTATGACATTTTAAAGCATTCTTTTTTTTTTTTTCAAGAAAATCACTTCAAATAAAGATTTTTTTAATTTATTGTGTTAAATTTAAATTTCCCACTGAAAAAAAAGGCGTGTAAGATTTTATTTTAAAGAAAAATTGTTTAACTAATATTTTTCTATTTTTGCTTTTGATTGAATTCAAATTTTCCACCTATCAGCTGACAAGAAGTGTAAAATATGTATCTGTTTTCTGCTCTTTTTATAATTAAAACTACATTTTATTTGTTCGAAAACATTAAATTTGAATTTTCCGCTTAAAAAAATAATTAAATAATAATATTTTAAATTTCGAACATAACAATCTCAAGTTTTCTCTCTTTAATTTTAATTTGGTTTAATTTTTGAATAAAAATGGCGGTATTATGATTTTAAAGCATTTTTTTTTTCAAGAAAATTACTTCAAGAAAAAAAAATATGTTTTTTGACTTTATTTGTTAAATTCAAATTTTCCACTCAGAAAAAAAAAAGGACGAGTAAGATTTTATTTTAAAGAAAAATTGTTTAACTGAGTTTTTTTATATTTTTGCTTTTATTAGGTTTTAAATTTCCCGCTTTTGTATTCTAATATGACGAAGCTATTGACATTTTTAAATACAATTTTGACCACAAAAACGAAAATACTGGATTTGGAACTGTCTGAATTTTTACATTTTTTGCACTTTTTAAATAAAAATGGCATTGTTTAGTTTTCATCCAAGACAAAAGCGGAAATTTCATTACGTAACATTTTATGCTGCTTTTGCTTTTCCTTAAAAAAGGGAAATAATTTAAATTTGGGACTATGTGACAATTTCTAGTTATTTTTGTTTATTTTTAAATTTGGTCTAATTTTTGAATAAAAATGGCATTATTATGCATTATGACATTTTAGAGCATTATTTATTTATTTTTTTTTTCAAAGAAAACAAAATTCAAATTTCTCACGTTTTCAAC